CCAACAATCTCCCACTTGCCCTAAAGCAAATGAGGCATGTCTCTAAGTCCCATATTTTCAAGATGTCTCTCAAAACTCCCTGTTGGTAATGTTTTGGTAAACGGATCAGCTATGTTGTTCGCGTATGCGATCTTTTCAACTGAAACGTCTCCTCTAGAAACAATCTCTTTGACCAGGAGACGTTTCCTTCCATATATATATATATATATATATATATATATATATATGTATTAACGAGGGGAGGAGAAGGAAACGTAGAGAAAAAAAAATCTCTCTAAATTCATCCATATTAATTTAGAACAATTTTAAATGAATTTTAATATTAATTAATCAAATTAATTAATATGTGTATTTAAAATTCTCAATTCTATATTAATAATCACCCACTATGACATATTCAGTTCACATTAATCTTATAGAGCCATTGAGAGGAACTATGGACATTATTATTTTAAGCTCTAATAATTTTGATAATTAATTAACACCTTAATTAATATGTCAAAATTATTAATTCCAAATTACTCCACTATAAATTTAGAATTGCACTCTCAAAATAATAAAACAATTATGTTCACGGAATTTGTGTTGTCCATTGATATAGTCACTACATACGAATTAATTCTCCATAAACGGTTCATAATTAAAGCTAGGTATTTTTCGTTAACCTTTTTAATTATATCTTTCTCCATAAGTACTATTGATCCTCTAATGAATAATATATTTTATGATCCAATCATAAAATTGAGCGCTCTTATTATTCAAGTCCCGAATCAACACTTATGGGAACCGTCCATCTACTTCATTATGAAGGAATGGATTTCATCTTGTAAATTAATATTCCCGGCTATTTATTTTACTATGCTCCCAATATACCAAGACTTTGACACTATTCACATGTGTCATTACTCAATATGTCAAAGAACATAATATCATAAATAGGAGTTTATTAATTACTCAGAATTAAGATTAATACATATATGGCCATCATTGATTAACATTGACTACTCTATTTAATAACGGAATTTATTAGAGATTCATAATTAATTGCGTTCCGGTCCTA